GAGTATTGGGAGAACTCTCAATGCTTATATCAAGTGAGATTATCCAGGGAAAATTCAGGCTCTATTTATTGGTACCTGATTCTAGGATAAGCACAAAATCTCTACTGCAAATAGGGCTACTCTGAGGATTAAAGGAACTTATTAATATAAAACAAAATTGTGTTTGGTAGCAAGTGATCAACAATGTTAGAAAGTATAAGGACCAAAAGCTAACTCATTTGCTTTCCTAGCACTCCTGGCAGATTAGGCCCTGAGCTCCATCAAAAATGCACCACAGCAGAGTCCATGCTGAAGCACAGGGACCTGCAGGACAGAGGAGAACTGCTTCACAGCGATTCCAAGGCGATGATCTTTATGGAAGCTGATGGTCACATCTTCCTCTCCAAGGCTGACTGGTGGGTTAAGACCTGAAAGCTGACTGCTTTAACAATGAACCACCAGGCATCCTCTGCTGTCCTTAAAGCTAAAATCTACTGCTGTCGCCTTGGTTCTAACTCATAGCAACCTTCGACTGGGCTTCCAAGGGTGTCAGATTTTACAAGAGGAGACTGCAAAGTGACCTTCTCCCTCAGAGGCCTCGTGGATTCAAGTCACTGACTTTCTGGTTAGCGGCCAGGTTGTCATACATAATGCCACTTGGCCTCTCTATCATTAAAGAAGCCTTCAGATGCTTTAGTTCACTGGTTCTCAAACCTTTGTATGCATTTACTTTACACCTGGAGGACTGGTTTAAACAGACTGCTAGGCCTGCCCTGGTTCCTAATGCTAAAAGTCTAATGACAGGACCTGAAAATTTGTGCTTCTAGCAAGTTCCCAGATAAAAAGTATTCATTAAGTATGTGTTACCGCATCAGGATTGGTAAAAGACTCAACACCCTGCATTATGAAGATGATACAACCTTGCAAGCTTAAAGTAAAGAGGACTTGAAATGTTTGTTGCAGAAGATCAAATACTACAGCCTTCAATCTAGATTATATCTCAACATCAAGAAGACAAAAATCCTCATCCCTGGACCAATAGGCAACATCATGACAGAAAGATTGAAATTGGATCCACAATCAACTCCTTTGGATCAACAGTAAATAAATCAACAAATGTATAGCAGTGAGAAAGTCTGCAATTGCTATTAGGGACCTCCCCTTGCTGAGGAGCAAGGATGCCAGTTTAAAGACTATCGTGAGCCTGATTCAAGTCATGGTCTTTTCAAGTACTTGCTTTGTATCTGAGATTTGGACAGTAAATAACGATGATAGAAGAATTGATGCCTTTGAGCTGTGGTGCTGGAGAAGGGTACTATTCCCCCATGAACGAAGAGAATGAATAAATACGTAAAAAAAAAATTTTTTTTAAAAAAAAGGGACCAAAAGCTAGGCTGAGATCAATTTTTCAAGGTAAATTCTACCTGAAGCCATCAGCCTTCCCTGGTAATAGATCAATATGAATGTGTACCATTTATCACAGGGATCCACCAAGGAGTAAGGAAAAGGAATAGTGCTTGCTTACGATACAAAAAGTAAAGACAAAGAGTGCTACAGGGTGCCTTTGGGGAGAAGGAGTCAACAATGATTGATAGCTTTGTTTTCATGAGGGTTTAGAGTATACAAAACAGCTTAAAGCAAGATAGCTTAAAAAGATGTAACAGTAAAGCCAATCCTGTGTTTGTGTGGGAGGTGGGGAAGCAATCCTATATAAGAGGCAAAATTTCAGTTGTACCAAGAATAAAATGTTGATTAAAATATGGATATCAGAAGAATACAAGTATGTGGTGCAGCATGAGGATATTATCAAATCATTTATATAATAAACATGAACATTCTGCAGAAATTTATCCACTTTCTCTAACTTCCAGAGTTCAGGATTTTTCACAATCCTGCCCACTTTACCCACACTAGCTCAGCGTTTCTTAAGCTGAAGGAGTTGAAAAATTCAAGCCATGGGTGGCAATACTTAAGAATAGTTTGGGTAGAATGCTGAACGATCCAGGATGTATCAAAAGAAGATGGACGTAGTACACAGAGTCACTGTATCAGAAGGAATTGGCTGACACAGAGGAATTTCATGAAATAACATATGAGCAAGAACCTATGGTGATGAAGGAGGAAGTTCAAGTTGCTCTGAAGGAATTGGCAAAAAACAAGGCTCCAGGAGTTGACAGCATACCAATTGATTAATTTCAACAAACAGACGCTGCCCTGGATGTACTAAGTTGTGCCAGGAAATCTGGAAGACAGCCAGCTGGCCAACTGACTGGAAGAGATCAATATTTGTTCCCATTCCAAAGACAGGTGACCCAAAAGAGGGTGGAAATTATCGAACAATGTCACTGATATCACATGCAAGCAAGATTCTGCTAAAAATTATCCAAAAACGTTTGGAACAATATGTCAACAGAGAACTGCCAGATGTACAGGCTGGATTTAGAAGAGGCTGTGGTACTAGGGATATTATAGCTAATGGTAGATGGATCTTGGCAGAAAGCAGAGAATACTAGACAAAAATCTATCTGTGCTTCATTGACTATGCAAAGGTTTTTGACTGTGTGCATCACAACAAGCAGTGGCTGACTCTGAGAAGAGTGGGAATCCCAGAAAATTTGATTGTGCTAATGTGAAACCTACACCTGGACCAAGAGGCAGTTGTCAGAACAGAGCAGGGAGACACTGGATGGTTCAAAAGAAAGGGGTCCGTCAGGGATGTATTTTGCCTCCATACCTTTTCAATCTGTATGCAGAACAGATCAACTGAGATGCTGGGCTGTATGAGGAGGAATGTGGCATCAGGATTGGTGGAAGAATCATCAACAACGTGCGTTATGCAGATGACACAACCCTACTTGCTGAAACTGAGGAGGACCTGAAGCGCTTGCTGCTGAAGGTCAAGGACTGTAGTCTTCAATATGGATTGAAGCTCAATATCAAGAAAACAAAGAGTCTCACCACTGGGCCAATTGGCAGCATCAGTATGGATGGTGAAGAGATTGCGATAGTTAACAGTTTTAGTTTACTTGGTCCCACAGTCAACACTCTTGGTAACAGGAGCCAGGAAATCAAGAGCTGAATTGCATTGGGAAAGTCAGCTGTGAGAGACCTCGCAAGAGTACTGAAGAGCAACGACGTCAGGCTGGAGACTAAGGTGCGTCTGATCCAGGCTATGGTCTTTGCAGTATGTGCTATGCATCAGAGAGTTGGACAATGAATAGGGATGATAGAAAGAGAACTGATGCCTTTGAGCTCTGGTGCTGGAGAAGAGTGTTGAATGTACCATGGACTGCTAGGAGAACAAACTGCTAGGTTTGTCCTGGAGAGGGTGAAGCCAGAATGCTCCTTGGAGTCAAGGATTCTGAAGCTTCATCTGACATACTTTGGGCGTGTTGCAAGGAGGGACTGGTCCTTGGAGAGGGACATCATGTTTGGGAGAGTGGCGGGACGGCGCAGGAGAGGAAGATCCTCGATGAGATGGATTGATTCTGTGAGTGGAGTGGTGGGAATGAGTGTGTTTGAGACGGCGAGGATGGCACAGGACAGAAGGGCATTTAGGGCTCTTGTACATAGGGTCGCTATGCGAGTCGACGGCACATAACAACAACCAACAACAACAACAACAACAACAACTTTTAAACAGGTAAGTCAGTTAAAATCCTTTCCTTACAGTCAGCTTACTCTGGTCTGTAACTAGAAAAGTTGATTACCGTCTACTTTCTGCTAATTCATATTCTACTACCCCTTCTTTAAAGTTCAGGTCAAGACCTTTGTTCTCTGGGGTCCTTATCTTAAAAATCCCAGCACATGGCCTCTGACTTTTTAACACTATGCATTTAACAATTACAATATCAATGCACCATGTCAACCACAGGGAAGATGTTATTCAGGAAACAACACAGGATTTTGAAGCCTGAAGACATGAGCTAAATCCCAGTATTAATACTTTGATATTTGTGAGATCTTAGGAAGGTTATTTAAACTTTATCAACCTTTACTAACCTAGAAAACGGGTGATAAAACCTGCTGAAAAGTATTGTTAGATGTTAAGTTTACATTTAAAATATATGAAAAGGATGAATATATTTTAAAGAACTAGATAAAAATTAAGTTATTAACATTAATCTAGCTCAGTTTCTAATATGTGTCAATTAACATCTGCATAAAAGGGACCACATAGCTTAATCAATATTCATGTGTAAATCTTAACTATAAAACATATCTTACAGCTTAGACATGTCTACTTATAGTCTAGATAGATACTTTAGATAAGACTATTATTGTTGAAGAACCATGAGGTGAACCAGCTAGTTAATAGATTCTATTTGAATTGTCCTCTTCCTACTTCTCTCTTTTTCTACTGTGCTTTGGTGGCACAAAAGAATGAAAGTTTATTTCCGTTGGCAATGATGTCAACAGTTATATTACCCTACATTTAGTTACATAAATAACTCTCTTTCCTTGAAAGCCAGATGAATCATCAAATTATAGCATTTTCACCTCAAGTGGAGACAAAAGACAAACATCTCTTACCCTAATAGTTTTCTGGGTCAGTTAAACTTTAATTAGTAAGGAAGTCACAGCAGCTTTCCATCTTTTTCAGGGCCAGATATTAGAGCATGAGAACTCAAAATCAAGCACTTTTCTAAAATAGCAATTATGCTTTAATATTTGTGACAGTAAATTTAAATGTTTTAGTAGTTTTTCAAGTCCGTTCTCTGTAGTAACTTAGAAACTGATGTCAACAGGTTCTTTTCAGTCTCAACGAGGGAGAGATAGACACTTAAATGAGTAAACACATCACTACAGTAAATCAGCACCACAGAAAACTGGGCAAGATTCTTGGGCTGCAAACCAGTAATTTTCATGTGTGCCAACTCCAACAGGATTAAAACCACCGAATCTGTCCCTGGTCTATTAGGAGAGAGGCTATATTTTTCTGCTTAAACAAATAAGGCATTTAACATGATGAATCATAAGACTTGGTCTTCAAATGGCTCAAAAGTTAGAATTAAATTTACCTCAGAGGGAACATATTGCTCCACAGCTGTAGCAACAGTCGCACAACAAATCCAAAGCAATACCATCACCGAGAGGACAAGAGTAGTAGTTAAAATCCATCCAGAATTCCTGAAAAACCAGTAAGTCATATTAGAATATTCTAATGTAAGAGAAGACACTTAATATATAAATGCAATCAAGCTTATGTAGTTAGTTTAGTAATAAACTTTTTATTTATATTATCATAAAAACTATTTTAAACCCACAAACCTGTAGAAGGAATACTATACTAGCTATTATAGTAGTTTTTTATAGTAAGAAAAAAATCAGACAGAGGGTATTGGCTTCTACCAAATATATATAAAATTATACCAATTACTAACAGAAGTACTTTTAAATTATAAAATGTGTAAGGGAAATTGTACGCTGCCATACATACACTATTCTTTTGCAAGGTTTTATGTTAACACCCATTTTCTTTTTGTCCTCCAAAGAGTTTTAATTTTTTAAATTTAATTTTAATCAAAGTTTACAGAGACTTAAGAGTTTCCATTCATTCATTGTTGTACTTTTCTTCCTGCCCACTCTCTCCCCAATTCACTCTTCTCTTTGAAAAGTAAAATAAAAATCTTTTCACTGTTATACAATCCCTCACCCCAAGTCTACTCCACTATGCAGCCTTCATTCTAGACTCCTGTCATGACAATAATACCTAATCATATATCCCTTGTAAACAGCTCTCTCCCTCATCTGTTTCAATGCCGTATACATTATTTATCCACTCTTTCTCAGTCTTCCCTCAACCCCGATGTCAATCCTGTTTTACAACAGTGGCTCTATGCAATATTTGCCCTTTTGTGACTGAGACATTTCACTCAGCATAATGTCCTCCAGGGTCACCCATTTTGAATAATATTGCATGAGTCCCTTGTTTTTCAATGCAGCATAGTATTCCATTGTGTGAATATACCACAGCTTCTCTATCCATTCGTTTGTTGATGGGCACTTGGGTTGTTTGCTATTTGCTATTGTGAACAAAGCCACGATAAACATGGGTGTGCATATGTCTGCTTGGATGTCAGTTATGGTCTCTTTGGGGTATATTCCCAGTAGTGGAATTGCTAGGTCAAATGGTATTTCTATTTGCAGCTTTTTGAGAAAGTGCCATACTGCCTTCCATAGTGGTTGCACCATTTTACACTTCCACCAACAGTGAATAAGGGTTCCAATTTCTCCACAACCTCGCAAGCATTTGATGTTTGCTGTTCTGTTAAATTTTGCTATTCTTACTGGGATAAGATATCTCATAGCTGTTTTGATTTGCATCTCTCTTAGAGCTAGGGATTTTGTGATACTTATTTTAAGAAAATCTAAGTGTTCCAAAGAGTTAATGTATAAAATAGCTAAATTACAAAACAATTATTTGTCTCTTAAAAAGGATTTCTAATAGGCTTTAAGAAGTCAACTCTCCAAGTACTGCGCAAGACTATTATTGCAAAAATTGGTTACTAATAAGCATAAAGAATATGAAATACAATGTGAATGAAGACCAGTCTGAAACAGTGTATACAAACTTGGTAAGCAAACCAACACACACACACACTCTCTCTACTAGTCAGGTGTATTTCTTTCTATGGTCCCTTCCTTGAGTCCTTGGCCTTACATCTAATGTGAAGACCTGACAGTGTCAAATGAGATAATGGTTACCCATGGAGGATAGTATTTGGTGGAGCTCCCTGATTAAAACAAGCTTGGAAGCAAGAGTGGCATCCGCTTCCAAAATAGCTTGCCTCTGGAAACCCTATAAACTTGGAGAAACCATGAAAGTTAAACAAGTGTTCAGGTCTTTCATTTATAATATCGCTATGAGTTGTCTATGACTCAATGGCACTTAACAACAACAACAACAGTAAGGTGTATACAAAAGTCTAAAGAGGAAAGGGGGGGCTGAGGGTAGAAGGTTGGTGGGGAATGTTGAGGGCACAGTATTATGTGGGCAGAAGGAGGGGTTGAAGATACTAGGAAAGATCCAGTGGGAACCAGAAAAGATGGAGTAATGATGGACATGGATCAATGGTGATTAATTTTATAAAACACAATGTATGGGAATGATACTATGAAACACATTGTGAATAGAGGAATGTGTGAAGCATAAGGTATATAATAAACTAAACATAATGTTTATGAATGTGTGCAAATTAATATAAAAGAAAAAGAATTTTTAAAAAGTCAACTCTAAAAAATTTAAAAATATTTCATTTTACATAACTCTGCAACCTCAATTTACAAATGCAATTTATTAGGAGGCTCTGTAACCACTACAGAATACAGTAATAAAAACAAGAGGCTTTTTTCTTCTGTTGTTGTGTACTGTTTGATCAGAACTGGCCCTCCAGTGGCTTTTCAGAGTACAGGAGAAGACTGCCCATCCTCCACCCATGGAGCAGAAGATGGATAGGAACCATGTGCCTTTTGGGATTGCAGCAGTTTCTTACCACTAGGCTACAAAAGCTTCATTTTCTTATGATTAGAAAGCCGGTGATAAGAACCAGCAACTTGAATTATTGTTATTTAGATGACTGACCGATAATTACCAAACTATAGATTAAAATTTGAGGAACAGAGAAACAGCAAAAAGATATTTTTAAATACCTAAGAGTCTAATTCTGGAATCTTGAGTAATACAAGGAATCACTCATTTTCTAACACTAATAAAAGGTCAATTCCTAACATAACTCCTTTACCCATTCACTTGGTTTGTAAATATTTGAACATGCTACAAAAAGAGGGAATGCATAATCCTAGTTTGTCAATAAAACAGGTGGACTCAAAATATGCATTACATCTTAAAAGCATTGAACTCTCATATAATGCTTTAAGAGTATCAACTTAAGATAATTTTTAGCATTTCCCTCTACATGTTCTCACCCCGAACTGGGTGAAAAAGAATTTTCAATTAAATTAAAAGGACATATTTTACAATCTCACCTCAGTTGTTGTTATGTGTCATTGAGTTACCTGTGACTCACAGCCACTCTATGTATAATATGGCTCTGAACACTGCTCTATCTTAAGCCAATCTTATTGTCTCTGATGTACTTAACCCCTTACCCCAGATACTATGTCAACATATTTCATCAAAGGCCTTCCTCTCCTGTCTGTCCCTCCATCCTTCTTCAAGCATGATGTCCTTCTCGAAGGATTGATCCCTCTTGGCCACATGCCCAAAGTATGTGAGATAGAGCTTCAAAACCCTGGTCTCCAAGGAGCAAGCTAGTTTCACCCTCTACAGGATAAACCTGTTTGTTCTCTTGGCAGTCCATGGTATGTTTGACACTCTTCCCCAGCACCACAATTTTAAAGCATCAATAATTCTTCTGTCATCTTTGGTCACTGTTCAGCTCTCTGATACATAGCAAATAATTGTGAAGATCACAGACTTAATCAGGTACACCTTAGCCTCCAGACTGACATCGCTGCTTTTCAGCACTCTTGAGAGATCCTTGACAGCAGCTTTCCCCATCTTTTGATTTCTTGACTACCAGTGCCAAGATTGTTGGTAAAGTTTAACAGGATAGCCAGCAATAAATGTTGAAGAGGGTATGGAGAAATTGGAACTCTTATACATTGTTGGTGGGGTTGAAAAATGGTACAGCAACTCTGGAAGGCACTGTGGCATGTCCTCAAAAAGTTGAACAAGAGATTCCTTATGATCTAGATATACCACTACTAGAACTAGACCCCAAGGAAAACAGAAAGGTAATACAAATGGAGATTTGTACACATATGTTCATAGTAGCATTATTTACAATAACAAGAACACCACCCATGTTCTTGTTATTCGGGACAGCACAAATGTCCATCAACAAACAACTGGCCTGAGAAACTATGGTATGCTCACACAACAGAGTATGATGCAGCACTCAGGAGAAACCTTTTGAAAGATAGTGTATAATGCCATTATTGTAAAATCAGAAGGATAACCAGTGAGATGTGTCTGGATATACAAAGAAGGACGGGGTGAAGGCAGGGGAGTTGAGGGTGGGAAAGAGGAGAAATCACGGAGTAGAAGAGTTTGATGGGTGGAACGAAGGAGCAAAAAAAAAAAAAAGTACATGAGTGAAACATAATAAAAAAAATTTTAAAAGAATGGAAAAAATAAAGTGAAGATAATACCTTAAAAAAGGGACATATTGTTCATTAAATTAATTTAAAAAGGGACATATTTTATACCTAGATTCTAATGCCCCCTGTAAGTAGCAAAATTTTTCTTTTTATATTTTTTATTTTATTATTTTTGTGTGTGTGTACCATCAAATCAGATCTGAATAGTAAAGGAGGAGATTGTCCCTCCTTCTCCAGTAGAGCATCTAGTGGATTTGAACCTTGCACCTCTGGGATTGCAGTGCAGCTTCTTGCCACTTGGCCACCAGAGCTCGCCAATAGCAAAATTTTCTAATCATCATTTAAGATTTATTTCTATCTCCTCCATAAATCTTGGTACCTCCCAGTACACTCAGGTATACTCAATCTCTATATAGGTGGGGTCCTTTTTGTGGTGTGTTATTGTTCTCTCCCCCCACTCCCCAAAAGTGGGTGGCCCTTGAGCCATAGACTAAGGGTAGGGGCGGAGCCCTGCTCGAGGGTGTGAATTTAAAAATCTGTAAGGCCCTCAGGCCACATTTATTAATTTTAGAAGAGTATTCCTTAACACGTTGCCTCAAATGACGGCAAAATGTGTTTCTAAGCATGGTTGTCAATTTAAAAGTGTGCGGCAACGTTTTAAAAGACATAGCAATCATTAGTTCGCTGTACTGAACAACTTGGAGTTGCTGTGATGCTGAACACTATCCATATTCATGTCAAATACCACAGTGGTTACCTATTATGTACAATGGTTAGATGAGCTTCCAGATTGATTCATGTGGGAAGCAGGAGTGGCATCAACTTCCTAAACTAGTGTCTCTGGAAACTCTTCAAACTCTTATAAATGTACAGAAATTGCGTTAATCATAGAACAGAATTCAGGGTTTTTTGGACAAAGCTTACTCTGAGTCATATTCGGCTCGACAATACTTAACCACTACCAAATGACCATAGTGCTGTTATAGCTGGAGGAACATTCTTCCACTTTGTACATCCTTCTTTGTCAATGTGCTATATGAGGTAACTTGGGTTTGCTATGATGCTAAACCTTGTGCCACCGGACTATCAAATACCAGAATGGTTTCCCATAGTGGACAGTGTTTGGTGGAGCTCCCAGTTGTAAAACAGGTTTGGAAACAGAAGCAGCATCCACTTCCTAAGCCACATGCCTCTGGAAACTTTATGAAGTTGGAGAAACAATGACAGTTATGGAAGGGCTTTAGGTCTTTTGTTCATAGAGTCGCTGTGAGTCGACCTCGACTCAACAGCAATCAACAACAACAACAACAACATACAGGTGTGTATGACAGAACAATCATTATTGTTCTGTTCACTGTTTGTATGTTCGTTTCCATCAAAAAGAACTCCATAAAGGCAGAGATGGAATATTTTATTTCAGGTCTCAATATAGTGCCTGATATACTGTTTTAGGTGTTACTGAGTTGACCTATAGTGATCTGATGAACAACAGATCTGGTCCTTGCCCTATTCTACACCATCCTCATCATTTCTGATATGATTGAGTCCATTGTTACAGTGACTGCTTCATGACACGCTCAACAATAAGATGCCAAATACTAGAGCTGACACTAAACTGTAGTTTTAGATGGTAAGTTCATTTTTATAAAACTATCAAACTACAACAAAAATATTAAGTATGAGAGAAAAACTGCTTCCCCTCTAATAGATCCAATTACTATCCAATTACTATCATAGATCCAATTACTTTTTAATAATTTTTAAGAGACAAGTATACAACTGACAAGAAGTTTTATTTTGTCAAATATTCCTTAGTTTATTCGTAGGCTGTTAAGAGTATTTTCAAGGAATTTTTCAAAAAAATGAAAAAAGAAATTTACTTTTTATTAGCTTGAGTGAAAATACATGGAAAAATTGGTTTTTCCATTAAATAATTGATATACATTATGTTTCCTGACATATATGATACTCTTCCCACTGAAGCAGCATTTCCCGCTCTTCATTCTTGTGTTTCTTCTTCCCATTCTTCCTTCCTTCCAATCATGCACCACATTTTAAATTTTAATTCTGGGTTAATACTGCTGTGGTTGTTCACTCTGAGCAAGTTCCTCCCTAGCATTAGTGATCACCTTAGAAGTCTGTTATTTGGCTAGAAATTAACTTACGGGGTGATTTCAGTTCTAGGCTAAAGAATGACTCAAGGCCAAGCAAGGGTTTAACTAGTTCCTATCAGAGCAGTAAGCCTGAGCATTATTTTTTTTAAATGATTTTGAATTTTCACAATTTTATACTACTTTATCAGGGGGAAATTTTTTTTCTTTATGTAAAAGCAAAAGCAGGTTTAGAAATGAAGGTGAAAATTTAAAATTAAATGCACATTTTCTCAAATAGTCATTTAAAGATTTTGTTTAGGAAAAGGTATTAATTTTTAGTTTCCTCATCAGCCTAGAAGAATCAGTTACTGTTCTGTCATAAATTACAAGAATCATGCAGTTTGGACTATAAGAATATTATATTCTAATTCAGACTATTTAGCCTATAATAAAGGCAAGGATTCTTTAATCACTGTACTGTACAGCTGGCCTGCTATCTGACACAGAGTAGACAATTATCATGTTCTACCACCTTTCTCTTTTTTGAGGGCAAGAGGGAGCTAATATTAGAATTCTATCGAGGAGTGGAAGCTCACCCACCTTCAGGAGACATAATACTACCTTCCAGAAGAGCATAATTATCCCCATATCCCTGATTTCCACCTTTCTCTTGCCATACTTAGGAATCCCTGGCATAGTCAACCTTCTTTAGCATAAAACACAAAGCCTTTTCTCATAATCTGTAGCCCTTACCTAGGTCCTCTAACTCTGTATATAGCCACGGAGCTAAGAGAAAAAATATGGATCTCAAACCATTCAAATGTACTTTAATGTTTAATTTAAACATCTGGAGAGGCACATGTCTTAAAGAGAACTGAGGTATTCTTAGAAGACTAAGAATATAATGTGTAAAAACTACCAGCCCCAATTTTACTTATGCAGTACATTTTAAACAAATGGAAATATAAAAAAAGACCTGTTAAGCTTAGTAGGGAAAAAAAAGGTAAAAAAGTTTCAATTTTCATTTTCTTTTTATGTGAAAAAGGTGTATTAAGGTGATGCACAGGAGGCATGGTTGGTAATAGATAGATAAGCAGAAGAGTTAAAAAGAAAAGTAAAGAAAGGGGGAGAAACACCCCTGGAAAGGCAGAGGTGGACCCACGCCTTATGGCATGCTGCTAGAAGGAGAGAAAAAAACACACTCCCGCCCCCGCACCCCATTTGTACTTTTGAGCTGTTAAAATAATTTCAAAATAATGGAAAGGAATTTATCTTTCTCATTCAACCAAGATTTTAACTCCTATATTATACATATATTACATTTTATGTAATACATATTTAACTCGTGTGTGTGTGTGTACACGTGCGCATGTGTGTTGTTATGCACTATCGAGTCACCTGTGACTCACAGTGATCCTATGTACAACTCTGATGGCTACCTTGTCCTGAGCCAGTATCACAGGTTCTGCCACACCTACCCCCACTGCTCTAGTTACTGTATCAACCCATCTTATCCAGGGTATTCCTCTTCTGTGCTGCCCTTCCACACTTCTGAGCATGACTTCTTTCTCCAAGGACTGGTCCCTCCTGGCCATGTGCCCAAAGTATGAGAGACGAAGCTTCAAAATCCTAGCCTCCAAAGAGAAACTTGGTTTTACCCTCTCCAAGACAGATCTATTTGTTTTCTTGGGGGCCTATGGTATGTTCAAGACCATTCTCCAGAACCACAACTCAAAGGCATCAATTCTTTTTGTCATCCTTTGTCATTGTTCAGCTCTCTGATGCATAGCAAGTAATTGCAAAGGCCATGGTGCACCTTAGTCTCTAACTGACACAGTCGCTTCTCAGTATTCTGGCGAGGTCCTTGACAGCAGATTTTCCCAATGCAATTTGTCTTTTGATTTCCTGACTGCTGATGCCAAGAGTGTTGATTGTGGAGCTGAGCAAATTGTAACTGTTAACAATCTCAATCTCTTCTTCAATATGGTGCTGCCAATTGGCTCACGGGTAAGAATCTCTGTCTATTTGATGTTGAGCTTTAATCCATATTGAAGACTACAGTTCTTGACCTTCTGCACTTCAGGTCCTCTTCAGTTTCAGCAAGCGAGGTTGTATCATCTGCATAGCATAGGCTGTTGATGAGTCTTCCTCCAATCCTGATACCACATTCTTCCTCATAAAGCCCAGCCTCCCAAATGATCTGTTCTGCATATAGAGTGAAAAGATATGCAGACAGGAAGCATCCCTGACACACTCCTTTCCTGATTCTTTACCATGCAATGTTTCCATGTTATGTTCTCAGGACTGGTTCTTGGTCCAAGTATAGGTTGCACATAAGCACAATCAAATGTTCTGGGATTCCCATTCTCCTCAAGGTTAGTCACAATTTATTACTGTGCCATTGCACAGTAAATGAAACAGATAGACATTCCTCTGATACTCTCTGCTTTCTGCCAAGATCTATCTGACATTGGTGAAAAAGTCTCTAGTGCCATGAACTCTTCTAAACTCAGCTTGTATTTCTGGAAGTTCTCTGTCAATGTATTGTCCCAGTCATTTTTGGCTAATCTTCAGCAAGATTTTGTTTCCAAGTGATACTGGTGATATTGCTGAATAAGTTAAACACTCTGTTGGGTCACCTTTTTTGGAATGGGAAAAAATAAGGATCTCTTACAGTCAGTTTGTCAGGTAAAATGGAGTCGCTTTCATAGTTAAAAAAGGTTGTTTCTAGATCTTGAAATACAACATTGTGAGCAACAGGATACTATTCATATGCATACAAGGAAGAACTGTTAATACCACTATCATTCAAATATATGCACTAACAACCAGAGCCAAATAGATGATTTCTACCAGCTTTTGCAGTCAAGTAATCAATCGAACGTACAACCAAGATGCACTAATAATAATGGGTGACTGAAATGCAAAAGCTGGGGACCAGGAAGAAGGATCAGTAGTCAGAAAACATGGACTTGGTGACAGAAATGAGACTGGAGATAGAATGTTAGACTTCTACAAAATCAATGATTTATTCATGACAAATATCTTTTAGAAGAAATATGAACGCAGGCCATATATACAAATATAAATATATAAAAATAAAATCAATAGGAATACATACAGAGAGAGGCATCTTAAAAAGCCATCACTTTCTCCATCTTCAGCAAAGTTTCTGTGAGCTTGTGAACTTCTCATCTGCAGATCTGTCAAAATAGCAAGGCACAAGGTTATGATATGCTATGTCCAAAAGGTAGTCTCAAATGACTGCTTCTAGAAACATACACTCTAGAGGTGACTAGTTTTTTCTAAAACTGTGATGTGAACATAGAAATTCCGTATGATCTAGCTATTCCATTGCTTGGAATATATCCCAAGAAAATGAGAACTGAGGCTCTAAACAGAGACTTGTACACCAAGGTTCATAGCAGCATTATTCACCATTGCAAGAACATGGAAACAGCCCAGATGTCAAACCACAATCAAATGGATTGAGAAATTATGATACAGTCTTACAGTGGAATACTATGGAGCATGCAGGAGCAATGATTTTGTAAATTATTACCTGACTTCGGAGGGACTGGAGAGCATTATGCTAAGTGAACTAACTCTGTCCCTCAATGTTATATATTGTATAAAACCATTATTGTAGAATGAGTATGAGGATCAAGATGGGGGCAGGGTTGAAGCAGAAGGATGAGGATGTTCAGGGTTGGGGGGAGGATTAATCATGGGGTTGTACAATTTGATGGATGGGGGTGAGGGAAATTGGAAGAATCTGGTTTGAGTAACAATGTGTTCGAACTTTGTAAATAAACTAGTATAATAAAAAAATAAATAAAAGTCTGATGTGATACATTTTATAATGAGTGGAAGTTTCTCTACTATATCCCAAACCAAATGGATATTCTACCATTTAAAAAAATTTCATTTTCTTTTCAAATTATTATTGATATTAACATTTTCTGCTTAATTACACACAAATCTTGAATATGGAAATTTTAGTTCATTTCTAGTCTGTTTAAAAGCAGAGTTGGTCTTATGTTATATATTGTCATTATTCATTTGCCCACTCAAATAACAAGATCCTAAGTTTCTAAAATAAAAGTTCATAAATTTAAAAACCATTACCACATTTGGCACATCAGTGTCACAGTGTTTAGCATCACAGCAACCACAAGTTCCCTCTGTACAGCAATGCACAGACCAGTGCTATAGCTCTTAGAAAAATGTTTGACAAAAAACAATTTAAACCAGGCTTGAAGGCCTCAGATTAAAATCACCCACCCTGGGCTTGGTAACATAACTCTCTGTCTACTAGGCCAACAAGAGCTCTCTCTATGTTGTCGCTGTTATTGTTGTTAAGTTCCATCAAGTCATAGACGACTCATAGTGACCCTATGAATGAAAGACCTGAGCACTGATCATAGAATTTCTGGAGGCAGGCCTAGTGGACAGAAGTTTTGCTACCAAGCCGAAGGTGGGTGATTTTAATCTGCGGCCCTCAGCCTGTTTTAAATTGTTTTTTGTCAAACATTCTTCTACGTGGTATACCACTGGTCTGTGCACTGCTGTACAGAGGGAACTTGTGGTTGCTGTGATGCTAAACACTGTGACACTGATGTGCCAAATGCGGTAATGGCTACCCATGGTGGACAGTGTTTGGTGGAGCTTCCTGATCAAAACAAGCTTGGAAGCATGAGTGGCATTGACTTCCAAAATAGCTTGCCTCCGGAAACTCTATGAACAGTGCTCAGGTTCATAGGGTCGCTATGAGTCATCTACGACTCGATGGCACTTAACAACAACATCAACAACAAATTTAAAAAACTAAATGCTTTATCCTGAAGTTTAGCTTAGAAGTTAAAATTAATTTCTAGAAGACAAAACAGTCAAGCAGAACTTCAGAAAAATTTTAAAACTATGGTCATTAAAAAATTATTATTAAAAGAGCCAACAGACAATCTATAAAATCCTTGCAAGTCTTGGGAAATTACTTAACTGATAAGAGTTTCTCTAGATACTATAGAAAATGTCAAGAAATGAACGATAAAAAAAAAACCTGGGCAAAAGACAGGAAGAGAACCTTCACTAAAGAGGACATTCAAGCAGACAACAAACAGCCTTTGGATTGGCAGCACAACCATTAGGCCACCAGAGTTCTTAATCACTGTTGCTGTTGTTATTAGGTGCTGTCGAGTTGAGTATGACCCTTTGAGTAAAGATCTGAACCCTGCTCTATCCTGCGCCATCCTCAGACTTCCTGACACACAAGAGCCCATTGCAGTAGTTACTCTATTAATCCACCTGGTTGAGGGACTTCCTATCCTTTGCCAACCCTCCCCTCTACCCAGCATCATGCCCCTCTCCAAGGAATAGCACCTCCTAGCAACATGCCCAAAATACGTGAGAGATACTAGAGAGATGTGAATACAAACTGCAAGATAAGAACATCTTACCACTCTTCCTCAATCTAGCTCTCATTAAAGGGCATCGATTGAAAAAATCAATAAACAGAGATAATAACACTGGAGAGGAGATGAGGTAGTAAAGTAAAATGGTATGAACACTTAGGAAAATGGTATATTATTCTCTAAAAAAACCTACGAACAACAACAACAAAACAAACCCTAGAAATAGAACAACCCTATGATTCAGCAATTCTATTCTTGCTATAAACTCTAAACACAAATACCCTATCTACTGCCAATGAGTCATTTCCAACTCACAGAAACCCACTGTTGGGTTTTCAGAACTGTAAATCTTTATAGGAAGAGAATGACTATCTTTCTCCATCAGAGTGACTGCCAGTTTCAAACTATTGAAATTTTGGTTAGCAGCTTGATATGTTCTGAAGAGATATATATACACACACACACACCTATGATCATTACTGCTTTATTCATAACAGCACATATATAGAAACAACTCAATTTCCCATCAATGGATAAATAGCAAAGTAAATTGTGGTACATATATACAGCAGAATGCTACACAACCATAAAGAACAATGATGAGTCCATGAAACATGGATGGATCTGGAGGATATAATGCTAAGTGAAACAAGTAAAGCATATAAGGACAAATACTGTATCTGATTTCTTTTTTATAAGGCAAATAACAGGCATATACAAAAAGAAAACCAATATTCATTGGTAGTTATCAAGCAGAGCGAAGGGTAGGGGAAGTAAGGTTTAGATGGCAGATTTGTTTTTCTTCTTTTTGTGTGATAGGAAAAGTAGCACTAGAGATGGAGATAGTAAGCAAAGCATAACCAAAGTAAAAAATGTTCTGAGCATTCATAGACAAGTGTAGGCAAACTGGTATATAAGTAGGTACCTGGGTGTACACACGTGAAAACAGAAGGAAGTACCTATAAAAAACCAAAAAACTCAAACCTACCACCAGGAGGGAGACCTCTGAAGGCCTAGTAGTAAGGAGTTGTGCTGCTATCCAGCTCTAATCCAACAGTTGCTCCATGGGAGAAAGATGGGCAATATCCTCCCATGTAACTTACTGCTTCTGAAAACATAATGAAGGTCAGCTATGAGTTGGTTCCAACTTGATGGTACATACCACCACCTTCACCACTACACTGACTTACTAATAATGGGGACCATATACAATAGAGTAGAACTACCCCATAGCATTTCCAAGGCTTTAAATCTTTACAGAAACAGACCGCCATATCTTTTTCCTGTGAAATGGCTAATGGAAACGAACTGCCAATCTTTCAGCTAGCAGTCTAGTTCTGTATCACTGTGATACCAGGAAATTGTCAAATGGAAACATCAATTGCTATGCCACTTTTAACAAAAATCCAAATAAATAAATCAAATGAACTTACAGCATGAAAATACAAATATAGGGAACAGGTAGTCCTATTTTCAGGATAGTTTCACTACTTGATTAGTTTTATTAGAAGATAATGGAATATTTGATTAGTTCACAATAAAAAATGTTTGACTGCACATTAAATGTTTGAGAATACTGGTTCTCAAAGATGGTCTCTAGAACAAAATCTAGGAACTTATTCTCACTTACTCATTGCTGCTGAGTTGGAACTAACTCATAGCTGACCATCCAGTGGGTTTTCAGAGGCTATCAACTGCATAAGGGAAAACTGCCCATCTTCCTCCCATATGGCAGCTGGTGGAATGGAATCTCCTGCCTTTGGGTTGGCAGCCCAAATTCTTACACATTATGACACCAGAGATCACCTGTGAACTTACCAGAAATTAAAACTCTGTCTTAACAAATCAGAAACATTGGAGGTATAGTTCAGCAATCTAATTACCAAGTTAAAAGGCAAACAGCATGGTAAGTAGGTATGTGAGCTCTGGAGACAAAGTCATCTGGATTTGAAGTATAACTATCATTAAAAGCAGAGAATCCTACAAAAGTGTATAGATTTTCAGCTTCTTATAGGGATATTTTAACAAGCCTCCTATGTGATATTGATGCACATCAAAGTTTGAGAGCCTCTGTTTTAGAAATAATTTGTTCACCTCCATTACTACGTAAACAACCAATTACGCCACAGTCATATCTGACTGCCAATGCTTTTATCCCAAGCTACTTAAAAATACAACTTACAGGACATTTTGCTTAGAGAGGATTCTTTCATATTTGTAGACTCCTGCTCCAACTGTGGTGCATACTGAATTTCTGGCTTTGACTAAAATGATAATGAAAGCAATTAAGTAATTTGTACTTCTTAAGCTTTTTCAGCAACAAGTCCTCTAACACATCATCTCTATAAACATTTAAATTGAGAAAAGTAACAGAAGTATGGCATAAAAAATAAAGTACATTAACCACAATATATTTTAATTGCACTTCCTAAACATCAGCTCTAATGCTTTGCAAAGAAACAGACAGATTTCTGGCATCTTAAGGATTTTGTCAGTTTAACTCCCTGACAACATTAAAGAAGAAAAAAAAAAAAGAAAAAGAGAAACAAATTACAACATACTGCATTAAATATCATATTCTGCAAAAATGAGTTCTAATTCTTGACCAGGAATAACTTAGCAGACTGTCAAATCTTGTGACTAAACACGTATTTATTGCTATTTTTCTTATCTGAAACATTTCATTTTTCCTTTAAGTATGCTAAACACTCCACATGTTCTATCTCCTGTGTATCTGATTCTCTGAGTCTCTCCACTCCAGTTACACTCAAGCTGACACTCTTCTGTGTTTAGTTATTATTAAATCACATTTAAGAGACCAATGACTGCATAGTGCTAAAAATCCTGTTTCAGCCTAATAATTAACTACTGAATTAGTAATAATAACGACAAGGTTTACTTTAACACTTAAGAGGAAGGTATAGCTATAGTAGAACTTGATGGCTGGTAAGTCTGAGGAATTTAACTATGAATTTAAAAGAAAAGCAGCATGGTGTGGTCCCTGGAGCTAAGGTGATCTGGATTTGAAGTTTAATTCTGTCTTTACGATCAGTGAACCCCTATAAAAAGGTATAGATGCTCAACTTCTTTAATGAAATAGTGATAATACTACTTAAAGAGTTATCTGAAGAGCTAAGAAAAGTACAACATATAACAATGAAAGCCCTTATTAAATAAATTATAACATTACTGTGATAGGAAAAAAGGTACCTCTCTAAGAAGCAAATGCTTCAACAAGTTCTCTTAAAAATTAGTTATGAGAAAATGCATTATTCTATAAACAATCCAAAATGATGGTGTACTGCTGTTTTGTTATTAATTATTCTTTCTCCTATATGTAAGGATTTCATTTCATCAATCTAACCACTAATTAGAAACTCAGAGTTCTGGTTAGATAAGGACAAGATTTCCAAAAGATAAAAGGAAGACTAAATCACATTGTGTCCTGATGCCCGTTTGGTTTCATGCAGACCTAAAAAGTAATTATTATGTGATCAAATATTTGGTGGCTGAGGACATGGCTCTATGCTAAGCTACTCACTGAAGACATGTATTTACTGTTGTTGCCATTTAGATGAAACTAAGCAGCACAGTGGTCACCTGGAATATTACGATTTTTCCATCATCAGCTTGAAGATAAAAAGTCCATGAAGAAGTTATGAAGCTCTGTGCAGAGTCCATCATGTCACTCCAGAATGACCTCACCAGAGTAAGAGGGAAGAGCAGATGCATTCTTGGCATCAAGGACATGAGCTAAGAACAAAATAAAAAAAATCAAATCATGAGATAATCATGAGATTATTTTTTACATGTGCATATTCAAAGAGAACACCTTAATCTAGATTTTTCAAACTCTTATTGGCCTAAGGATTAATCCGTTAAATGAATTAACCCTAACAATTAGTATTAAATTCTTAAATTTCTATATAAATTAACTACAGTACAGTTTCACATTCCAGGGTACTTTAAATTGTCATTGAATAGCCATTGTTGTTATTGTTATGTACAATTAAGTTGGAATCAACTCATAGGTGACCATCTAGCAAGTTTTCCAAAGTAGTAAATTACACAGGAAAAGACTATCTTTCTCCTGAAACAGCCACTAAATGTTACCTATCTCTTCCATGAGGTAACATTTAATCTAAACTTCAAAATTAGTATAAAGCTGAATAGCAACGGGCAGTAAATCTGCCATAATATACTGAGTAAATGAATCACATATACCATAAACTCCCATCTTCAGTCTGGGTGAGGCTACCCACTATTCTAATAATTATGCATTTTAGATAGTAAGGATCTAAAATCACAGTAAAAGGGATTCAGAAGGAAAACTCATGCAGGTATTCCATTAAGAAATATGGGGTGACCAAAGGTAATCTCTGGAGTTGTCGAAATTAGCCTATTCTCTGTAGCTTGGAAAGTCTATTTATTGGAAGCCAGGGCAATAAGGAAGGCACTTTTTCCTCATCTGTTTCTGCTCCTTGTGCAAGAGAGAAACTTAAAATGACTAATATTCAGACATAGGAAAGTTAACTGTAATGTTATCATTGTGCCAATGAGCTGGGACTGACTTAAAGTAGGCTCTCCAGCAGATTTTCAGAGGCTGTAAACTGCACAACAGGAGATCACCTATCATTTTTCTGCAGAGCAGCTGGTGGATTCAAACCACAAACTCTCAACTATAAAAAATCTACAAAGCACAATTAAGATGAGCAATGTCTGCACTTAGATCAGATGACCTGCATAGAAGACTCCACAGATTACTTTAATCAGATCTCCTTTCATTAGAGCTTGGTTACTAGCTAATATTTCCTATCCAACACTAAAAAAAACCAAAACAAAACAATGTAAAAAACCACCCACTAATAAGTTTACAGTAAAGAGTATGTGGAATAATGTACTATAATAGATGATATTGGAAAAAGAATCAGGGGCTATGACGTAATAAGTAGTTTTGGATGTAAACCCCTACATGAGGAGGTGTTACCTACTGATGTATATAAAATGTGTACATGATGTATACAGACCTACCAAGGTATATAAAGTAGGAAAATGACATGAGATTCTGTAAATAGACTAAAAGATGAATTCAGAGGGTTAAACTGGAAAAATAGTTAATAATACAGATGAAAAATTATGATAATCTAAGTTAATTAAATGAGAGTTAAAATGGACAAAAGGACCTGGGCTATCAATTTCTCAGTTTCTTATATGCAAAATGAAAGTATGATCTTCACTGACAGAAAAAAAACACAAGTAAGATCATGGATGTGACAAGACATTTAACAGTAAGGCATCATTATTGAGAGGTGCTGTCAAATCAGTTCTGTTCCTAGTGACCCAATGTATAACAGCAAGAAACGCTGCCTGCTCCTGAGTCATCCTCACAACCACTGCTGAGCTTGAGCCCACTGTGCCAATCCATCTTGTTGAGAGGCATTATTCAACTGTCTTTTCTATTAGCAAACATATGCTGTTGTTTTGCTGAAAATGAAATATAAATTAGAATCAAGTGGGTTATAGACATTTAAAGCATTACAATTCAATGCTACTGAAGCAGGCTATTTCACTTGGTGGCTATTTAAGCAGGAAACTAAGTTTCGTACTTGTTCTTGTCTCAATTCAGCAAACGGCAGCTGATTCTGGCAACCAAGGTGGCAAGCATACTGCTCATCAGCTTGGGAATATGCTTCTGTACATGCTGTAAGAGAGAAAGTCAAATCACCACCAAAAAATAATGTGGAGAAAGAAAAGAGATTTGTCACTTTATAAATAAATACGGTTTTACACTTAAAAATATTTCATCAATATGAATTTCCAAATTTGGTAAAAGTAGTAAGTGTGTTATTTTATAATGTCTATCTTTTCCCTCTCTCAAGTTAAATGTTTCAAGCATATGTTTATTAATTACACACTCAAGACTCTGGCCATATGATTCACAGGAGAGAATCCACAGTTAAATGTAGCAGAAAAAGCACTAGACTGGTAACCACAGAGAAGCAACAGTTGTTGTTCTTTTTTTCTTAAAAAAAAAAAAAATATCATTTACTGGTTGTGGATGTGACCGATGCAGGGCTGTTTTAATCTGCTGATTCATTTTTTAATGTGTAAAATGGAAATACTATTACCTATTTAATCAGATTATCTAAATGAAATAATGCACTGTTGTATGCAACACACAAACTACTAGGATATACACATAGTAAGGGGAAAAGTAGTTTATCATAAATTCTGAGAAAGCAGAATTCAGCAAATATTTTACAGCAAGTGATTCTAATACTGAAATAGGTCTCTACCAAACGCATACTCTTCACTTCATTCTCAGTCTTTTTTGTATTATGAACACATTACTTAAGATTTTTTTTTTCTTTCTTCCCACCAGTCATTTATTGTTAATATACTTCTCAAAGGAGCTAAGTAGTCAAATGAACAGCTTATATACATATATAGATGAACAGTTAGGAAACTGAGTTAGTAAGAACAAGGTTATGGTGTCACAAGATACTGGATATGAGTCATGGCATAATGAGAGGGAATGAAGTACCTCTTCTTACACTGAATAAACAATGCAATAAATGGAGAAAATTCCACTATGGTTCTTTTTAAAAGGTAAATGTCAATTTTGCCCTGATTATAGGTTTCTTTTATTAAACACATCTCTTTCAGTAAAATGTAAGAATAATGATTTAACAGATGACAAAGACTCTGGTTATCCCTTTGTTGGCATGATCCACAGAGAATATGCTATTAAATACAAAGTCAAAGGCTTAATTGAGGAAAAACTTGGAGTTAAGTCAACTAACCTATGACTGAATGGCCTACGAAAATTATACTATCCATGACAGGGAAGAGATGAATTATGTGTGGGGCAATTACTACTGCCTGTCTAAACCAAATGCTTGGTTAAATAAAAATGTCCTATTCACAGTACAAAATAAATACTGCTTCAACAAAAAGGATGGAATTTGAAGCGCATGAAACTTTTAGCAGCAGCTACCAAAATTCCAAATTCATAATGATCACAATTTACTACATGATTTTCTGAGAAATTGCATAAAAAACAAAACACAACTGAAAGAGAAAAACAATGCCATATATTGCTAATGTCCTTAGCATAGCTTCTTACCAGATTCACATTCCAATTTGGTTCGATTTAAATCAATTCCATCATCCACAAACTGACAAATTGAAAACAGCCTGCAACCTCTTTGACATGCATATAGCTCCTCTTCCTAGGAAATTCAAGAACAGGGAGAATTACAAAAAACACAGTTAATTTTTCCTTACTGGGGGTTAGGGGGAGGTCTAGAAGGAAACCAAGTTAGTAGGGTTTTAAAACCTTCCACAAAATTTTTATAACAGAAAGGGGAAAAAAATTATAGGAGAGACTTTTGTTACCTAACCAGGTTTTAGTTCCTTATTTTAGAAGTAATACAAAGATAGATGAGTGAGCAAAAACGCCACCCTTTCCCCAAGTTCTGTGATATATTTTGTACACAGAAAAATGAAAATAAATAACATACACAAAAATCCAACAACAGCAGAAAATAAATGACATAACAAAAACTTTTTAATAGAAATAGAAATGAGTAAGCAAATACTTGAGGACCAATCGCATACTTTTGGCACATTCACATGAATGTTCATGTACTATAATATTAAGAAAATGGTGTGCGTATTACATAGTTTTTGGCAAATCTCACAACCCTGTGTCAGTTTCCTATGCACACTGTGCACATTATTAATGTAATATTTGTGTATATGTTATTTACATGGACATTCTATATGAGGGAAAGTGTGGTAAATCACCAGGCTTATCAGAAAAAGTATTAAGAGTTGCTTCATATGGCAAATGATGTCATATGGCCCTGATAAAGAGTACGCATATATAAAAATGCTTGTACAAAATGACTTGGCTGACTTTAATTAAAAATACATAAACAAGAGCAACACTATGATATATTAGAGAGGGTATTAGAAACAACCAAAGGGAGATAAAAGTTTTTTCACGTGAGTGTTGTGCTCAAGTTACCTTACATGTCTATTTTGCAGTTTTCTCAACACAGGAGACAAATATTAAACGTCTCAATAACTCTGGAAGACGATTAATCCTAGCACAGTGCCTTCTAGCCATTCCTAGAAGATTCTTAATAAATGGTAGTAGCATCATCCAATAAAACTACATTTTTAAAATAGAAAAATAATTACATGTATCATTGTGTATGTGTGGGAATTTAATATAGGATGGACAATGGAAAATGTTAACTGCTTAATCAGATCACAGGTCTAAGGACAGCGTCCAAAGGTTTCTCTTTGATGATATAGATATATATAGAGATATATATCTATTATTTAAAATAAGCTGGCATGTTTTGGGGCACAACTTACTGTGTGATCCATTGTGTACAAACTGGCAGGCACCTAGTATTGTTGTTGTTATATGCCATCGAGTCATTTGAGACTCATAGTGACCCTATGTACAAGAGCCCTAAACACCGTTCTATCCTGTGCCAACCTCGCTGTCTCAAACACATTGATTCCCACCACTCCACTCACAGAATCGATCCACCTCATCGAGGGTATAGTATGTGCATATACCTATTAGCAACCAGGGAAATACAAAAGTACGCATTTCTTTCTAGCAGAAAGCTTAGGAGTGTTTATGAGCTGCAACAATCCTTTAAGAAGAAATGGTTGAATGGGCACAGGATATGAACAGACACGTCACCAAAGACATTCAGATGACCAACAAGCACATGAAGAAATGTTCAAAATCCCTAGCTCTAAGAGAGATGCAAATCAAAACAACTATGAGATATCATCTCACCCCAGTCAGAATAGC